ATATTCGTTTTTGAGCCAATTGAAAATTTTGTATGGGAGGTACCCCTAATTTTAATTGAAATCTCTTCAAATTTTCAGAATGTTATATTTTTGTGTAAAAAATAGTCTGTGCAAAGTTTCACGTCATTAAGGTAGCATACAGGCATGGCTCCCATACAAAAATCCAAATTTTTTGTGATTTTTTCAAGGAAACTGTATTAAAAATTGATTGTATCTCAAAACTAACGTCGGATTCGGTTTTCTCGTGCCAAAAAACCCCCCAATACATATTTTTGAGTGTTTAAGTCTACATTAAGTATGACTTTTGGACGAAAATTGGACTCTTTTTCATAGGTATCACTCCAGGCATGACATTTTTTTCCATCAACCAAAGTCGCTCAAAATCTGATGATTTCTATTCCTGGGGACCCCCAATTATCCCGTGAAGTCAGATTTCAAATAACTTTTCTGGGTGGTGAGGAAATCGATGGACAAATTTTGCGAACGGCGGACAACGTACGACGTACGACGTACGACGTACGACGTACGACGTACGACGTGGAAGCGACCCACAACAACCATGCTCAAAACGGCCTGATTCGGGTTCTCTGACCTCAGAAACGTCCAGAAAACATGTTTTTGAGGTTTCGTAAATTTTGACCTATTGCAATACTTTCCCCTTTCACACTAGGTGTGTGCGGAAAAGTAACAACATGACATGACATTCATTGTTAATTAAAATGTCTTTTAAATCATCAAAGTTATAATCGTGGGCATTTTTAACTATCGTGCAACTATTCGATAATATACACTGTAAAATAGAAGGGATTAAATATTAATCATTTGGGATTTTTCATCAAAATAATCCAAAAGGATTAAATTTTAGCACTGTAGGATTAAATTTAAATACTTACTAATTGTAGCGAATTGTAGGACCACGTTGAAATCCCGCACAAAACCCAGGGCTTACGGCCGAGAGCTCCGCGCTTGATCCAGATGAGAACGCAATGTTCGTTGTGTTGTTTGTTGATTCTGAAAATGACAATGATTATATCAATTTCTAAATATGAACGTAAATTAAAAGTATGTGTAGCTTCAATTGATTAGATAAATTCAAAGCAGAATTATTGAAATGATTACATACTTGATTGGATGCTGCTCGTCTTGATTGTCGAGCTCGTGCTGGTGGTGCTGGTGGTGCTGGCGGTGGATCTCCTCCTCCTGCATTTTCTTCTTCTTCTTCAACATGCCGTTGAAATGCTGGATGTAGCTCTATATTCATAACAGCACACCATCCTGTTTGTTTGTAAGGAATAAAAAAAAAACGAATTCATTGTCTATTGTTCATTGACTTGTTCATATTAAACTGAGAGCATATCAATTTAACAAACACAAACCTTTGTAGAGAATGTTACGACCTGCATTTGCATCACGATTCCAGGTGATAGTACGCCCAATTCGAGTTTTCTCTTCATATTTACGAAATTTTGATGCCATACGTGGACCATCAGTACGGGGACGATGTTTTCGTTGCTGCGTCAATTTGCGATTGCTTTTTCGTGATTCAATCGTACCTTGGGCTTTTCCAAGCACATTTTCTCCACACAATGGTTCGCATCCATGGCATGTGAGATAGCGATATTTCTCCTTTACTTTGCCTCTTTTTGTCGGTTTTTCAAGTTCACGGAAGCACAACGAACATAATTTGGTCGTCCGAAATTCGTCCACCTCGACCACTGTACATTTACGGCGACGTTTCAACTTCTCGAACAAATCTCGCACCTTCGATCGAATATATCCTCGGGCTGGTGAATCTGCCGCAATGAAACGATCACCGACAAATATGAACGTTTGCTTACCATCGATGAGCTTGGTTGCATATGCATCAAGTGCTCTATTCGTGTCAATGTACTGGAGAAATGCTTGCAAAGCGTATTCATACTGTGTGTATGCTGTGAACTTTTCTTCAAAATGACGCAAAATATGATCAGCATATGATTTATGGTCTTCGGCTCGTGGACCAGGCTGCTCATCAAATGACTCACGATGTAGACGCATCTTTTCATCGATTTCAGTTGTCAACTTTTTGCGCCATTTGTTCCGTCGCGATGAATTTATCATATCTTGGTATTGGCCCGATGTCAATCGAATGATTGTTTCAGTGCGATTATTTCGATCGTTGAAATTGTTAATGCGCACACCACCAATGACCAAACGTAGTCCAGGATCGAGACCATACACTTGTTGGCTTTTCAGAAGCATCTCTTGTGTCTCTTTCATACGCTCTTCATCGTCTTGTTCAATGATGAATTTTGTTCGTTCCATCAAAAATGACATACCGACACCATCTGTTTGAATGGAGTTGTCGAATTTTATTGTTGCATGGCCATCATTTTTGTTTCTCGGTTCTCTTTCGATGCTATCGATGTCGAAATACAGACGCCATAATACATCCCATTCTTTATTTTTGATGTCTTCCTCCTGTTTTGGGCCGCCGTTTTTATTGCGAAATAATCGATGTGGACATTCTATCTGTCTCAACATGCGATAAAACACTCTACGATCAATTCGAATGTAATGTCTTTCGAACGATGACGTTGGTACCACGGTGAAATTTCTGTATTCACGAAGCTCGGTTCGTTCACCTCGCTTCAATGCGGCTTTTCGTTCACGTTCATGATTGCGAATGTACCTATTTTTGTATATTTTCCAAAAAATAAATTGATAAAATTACTTGTGTGGTATTTGTAGAATTTTCAAAATGGAAAAAAGTCGCATAAAAAATACAATCGTTTGAATCACAATAATAAATGAACGAAAACTCACTGTTGCAAATTCAGGAATATTGGTATGTATTTGAACCAATTGCTTTCCATAGCAAAAAAGTTCCCTTTCCCATCGTCGAATCGGATTGGCTTTAATGTATTTTCCAGTTCCCACATCAAATCCAGGTCTGGCACACAGTTGGAGTTTTGCTTGAATAAGAAATCCATGGTGTCATCAATTTGTGCTTTGCTCGCGTTTTAATGTGTGAAAAACTTTCGGATGCGTGAGTGAGCGTGCATACAAATATTATTTTTGTAATTTGTATAAAACATTTGTACTGCGTATTCAACTACATTCCCGAATCCTCCAATTACTGGAGCTCGAACACCGTATTTTTGGCAATAGTACCAAATGCCGTAACACAACCTGTACCCGCTTTCTCTGGCGTCGTTAAATGCATGCTCAATGAACTGAACGCCGTAAAACCAATCTCGAAAAAAAAAATTGTCGACGAATTGAGTATAGAATGCTTCGATTTGCTCGTCTGTACTGCGCTTGAAATGATCACTGGTGAAATAATGCAAATTCAGTGCACCCAATATGTAGCACCGTGTCATTTCTAATACGTATACGTCAATCAACTGAGCAAATTTTCCAGTGTTAATGGGCAGATTCACTTTTAAACCTTTTCGAGCACTTTTTTTAATTGTTTGGTGTTCTTTAATTTTTATCTTCTTTCGTGGCTTAAACGCCGATTCGTGATTCCGTTTGCGACCGCTCATTTTTAGCAACTGTTAACGTATTGGAATCTCCACCGATATTTATACCTCGAAATATTGATGAATAATCAAAATATATTTTGATAAATATAAAAGTGCCGGTTTGAAAATATTCAGGCCACTGTTATATTTATCAAAAACTACAATGACTATGATAGACTATGCATGCCATTAAATAAATTTATTAATTATACTCAAAAATCGGTTGACTTAGCAATGTATTATTGTTGATGAATTTATAGGTTCCTGGTATTTTAAAAACAGGCCTCTAAAAATTTATCAAAATATACAATCACCGATTCATGTGATCGAACGGGTTCACAATAAACAAATATCAATGCGTTCATTTCACTCTTGCATAAATACAATTTCATAATTCTGCAGTCCGATTTCAAATGCTGACAAAATGTTCGCTAAATTACACTCCCAAAGGTGTGATACGGAATTTATGTTGATATTCGATGCAAAAGAATCTTATTGAAAATCATTCGTCAACAAAGCAAGAATTAATCTTTCGTCAACACGCATTTTACGATAGTGTTTCGGTTGTTCAAGATTCTGATGGATTTTTAAAATTTTGCAAAATGTTTGCCATGTTACCCTTTTGAAAAAAAATCACTGAGCACACAAAAGCGGTTGTGACATGGAATGTTGATATTGATGCGAACCGACCCAAAATTCTATTGAAAACCATTCGCTAATCAATTCTTTACTTTGTTTTCACTAGCTATAAAACATTTTATCAGAAATCTAATAAATTGCACAGAAGCGATGGAAAAAAGGATTCTATTGAGAATTATATTCTAATAAACAAACTAATCGAAATTCCAACAGAAACAAAATTTAGTTTTTTCGACAACGGTGCACGTGATTTACACAATAAACATAAGACCGTGAAAGGTTATGTTTGCAATCGAATGACAATGACAAGCATTTGAAGTTTCATGTAATTGTCAATACAATATGAAACAGTGTTCCAAAGGAAGATTCATTTTGAGATATTTTTTTACAAACAACAAAAAAGTGTTTATTGAACTCAAGTTAAAAAATATAAAATGATCCCATTGGATTACTTTTTAGTCCTTTTGGATTAATCGTAGCTGGAAATCCCAAAATACTAAATATTAATACCACCGATATAAGAGTGTAGCATTTTCTACTTCATTTCCTGATTCACTTACTTTCAGTGTCAATAATCTCTTTACTTCTATTTTGCCATTGTTTTTTACATCAAAGTCATAATTTTGGCCTTTGGGTCCGCCATGCGTTCCGGCTAAAATGAGCAATTTCTCGTTTTTGGATTTCATTTCAGCTTTCAAATTATTGATCAATGGTAAAATATCTATGATACCTATGCCACAATCAACCGAAAAAATTGCTTTTCCCACATCATTGAAAATAACATGCAAAACTCTTTTTCCATCTGTCTCTAAATTTGCTCTGCTTGTGCGAACACGCGATGATTGTTTGAATTTGTGAAAATCTTCCACCGTCTTCGAATTACAAGTATTGAAATGTGAAATATGATTTTCTTTTTGGTGTTTCTTAACGTCTTCAATTGTTTTAAATTCACGACTATTTTCGCAAATACCACATGCAAATGATGAATGGTCCACATGCTCAGGAAAGCGCCTAGAAAAGGGCTTATGAAAGTGCTTGAAAATAGGCTCAACAGCAAATGAAGGAAAAGAGCAATAATTGATCCACAATGATCGTAAATAACTATTATGATAGATAAATAGGGAAAATGCCAAACCAGTGATTATGCCATTGATGGTTTCTATAAAGTATATTGTCTTGGTATGTTTACATTTTGGAATTAATTCATTATATTTGCAAAATATACCGCATGGTTTGGATTCAACATATGAAACTAAAACACCGGTATGATTTCGGCCGAGAGAACACCGGCAGTTGTAATTAATTAAACCGAAAAGTAATTCACGATCCATTGAAAAAATTTCATCATACGCTTTGTAGATGTATGTATTGCCTTTGTTTTCAAATATACATTCATCTGATCCATCTACAAGCACTTCACCATATCTAACGTTGATGTTAAAAGCATTGGTGGCACCAATCAAAACAAAAACTAAAAACATTAATTTCATCTTACAATTATTTTAACGATATTTAACTTGAATGAATATTTTTTAAAACTTATTTTTAAGTCTTGTATCTAATCTGTTGTATATTGTGTGTGTGTGTGTACGATGTAAGCGCTGAAATAAAAGAAAGGATACATTAAATTTGTACTCTTTACTAATATTTGCATTTAATGTTTTCTTTGCAACAAAATCGCACAAAATATGTAGTGTCGATGATTGAAAATATTTGTATGTGATTTTCATTCGAATTCAATTGCATGAACAGTAAACAAAACAATTCTTTGTCAAATGAGAACACCAATGTATAATGATACCTTTTTGTTGTTGTTGCACCCTGTATGTATTCCAATGAAATTGAATAAAACCAATACTGATAGCACGTTCAGTAAATCGAATAAACAGCAAAACGTCAGACGTCAATTTGTGAAACCATGGGAAAAAATTGAATTAATACATATAAAACAATTAGTTTTAGGCTACCGATCTCGTCACATTAACATACAACAATTTTCCCAAAAAATCGAATTAAGTCGCGCGTGTTTTTGAACAAAAACAAAATATTTTAAATATTTAGATTTTAAAACCTTATACTATAAGGTTATCTGTTTATAACTTCTTTTAATCGGGATGACTTTAGATCTTGTTCGGTTAGGCTATGAAACACGACTGCCAAATCCAAATTTTGCTTAAAAGTAAAAGAAACTAGTAATGGATAAGAGAGGGGGGAGGTATGTTAGAACATTAGTGCCACGATGACGCCCACAAACGTTGAAATTGTTGTGTTGTGTCGATCCGTGCGTTGATAACAGATCCGTTAAAAGGAATCCGTTAAAAGGAATGCGACACTTTTTTCTTTCAATTGGTTATTTTATGGCTTCTTCCGGCTACAGTGTATAGAATGACGCTAGGGATGTATATGAAATTGGTGTCATAAAACCCAAATCCAAAAAATATGGTGATTCGGGAAATTCCCATAGTAAAATGCATAAAATGAATTTTTCGAGTGGATGTAATAAAATAATTTGGGTAATTTTCTCGCTTTTGTTGTGAGACTATAATCGAAGTTCAGCTGAATCGTCTACAATTTCACTGTATGCAGAAATTTGTTCAGAATATCAATACAAATGCATTCTCTATAAGTTTATCCACCAAATGATACTGGATAAGAGAAAAACATACCGTTGTGTAATATGACTTTAGTCTTACCCTTTCAATAAACACGGAAAATAAAAATCTTTTGTATGTAATCCGGCTGGATTTTGATGAAACAACAAATTTACTCAAGACAAATTCTCCAAAAATCGAACGAAATGCAACAAAATCGCACAAAATATTTTTGTGAATGCTGTTTTTTATCATCTAGCAAGAATGCTTTCGACGCAATTTTTAATCGTCGCCTGCAATTGCACTGATATTAAGCAGTCCTCTTTAAACAAACATCATGTTCCTGATTGAAGGGAAAGAAAAAATCAGATGATAACATCGTGTCATATTGTTAAATGATCAAACTGACAATTTTATCAGAGATCAATATGCATGACCAACCTGATGAAATTCTTTTATTGAAAACTTAATATATTGAACATTTATTGAATATTTTTGAATTGAAAAATCAAGATCACGATTCATTTGGATTT